TTTATAAAGAAAGCACCTTGCATGCAGAACTTCTACTTGCAGTGTCACACCACACAGGATCAGGGCTCCATCTAGTGGAAAACAGGTAAAAATGGCAGAAATACTGAAAGTGAATCCACTTGTTTTTGTTACCATCTTGTTAATGCATATTATGGTCAGTAATATTTGGGGTCAAATATTAGGATTGTCAGGGGTTTGACACAAGAATCAGTTGGTTACTATGACTTCATGAGTCTCACAAAGTCACTATGAGGAAAATTTTAAACACATTAAAATAAAAATTTCCTGTTCTTCAAATTGCATTTTGCTACCTGGGAAACTGAGTTCAGGATGGGCAAAGTGGCAGATCATACCTGCCATCACTAGGTGCAGATGAGAGAAATACCAGCCGAGTAACGTCGCACTGAGGAGCTCCTCAGAAAATGGCCTCAGACGATATTGTATGACCTATATTTTTTGGGTGCAAGTCTATGAGGTTTGGAAATAGATTTATTGTTGCAGCGAAGGAAGCCAGAGTTGGTTATATCTTCAAGGAGAGAGGCCAGAGAACTGTAGAAGTGAAATCCAACTGACCCCCTCCCCACACTGTTCATAGATTGAGAGGTTATTGATGGCTATGTTTTTGTTTGGAGCCAAGTTTGCTCTTCCTATCTTATCCATCAGTGTGCATGTGAGGTACAGACGGGCCAGTGTCAGAAGGGGAAGTCTGTGAGGCACAGGAAGGCCAGTGGCTGAAGTGACTCCTGGTGCCAAGTTTTTGCATGGCATCCTATAAATTCTGTCTGCTTCTTGATTTTGACATATAGCTATAATGTGCTGTTTCAGGGATGGATCTTTCAGAGCCACACAATACAGTGGGTGTTTCTAGTACTTCTGATGTTAGAAGACTTCAGCATAGGAGGTGGAGGAGATGACTTAGTAGGTAAAGTGCTTGCCTGGGAAACACAATGACCTGGGTTTGGATCTCCAGCTCCCATACCAAAAACTAGACATGGTGGCATGTTCTTATAATCCCAGTGTCAAGGAGATGGAGACAGGAGAATCTCCGGTTTTCTGGCCAGCTAGTCAAGCCACTTGGTGAGCTCTAGGTTTTGTGAGACACCTGATGTCAGCCTCTGGTCTCTACATGTGCATCCAGGGGTTCATACCTCTGTATCACACATATAGAAATAGAGAGGGGTGAGGGAGATGGAGACAGAGATAGGGAATGGGGAAGCAGGGAGAAAACAGGGTAATAGAAACACCATACCTTGGTAGTCAATGCTTCTGACAATATCTTTCTTTAAACTTGGAAAACACTGTGTGATTACAAACAGCTTATAGTAGGACTGCTTTATCAAGTACCATCACAGTAGGGGTTCTCACATAGTAGGACTGCTTTATCAGCTACCATCACAGTAGGGGTTGGCAAAGCTCTCTGATCTACAGTGGCATTGACTGCTGATAGCTGACCATATTCCCAGTCACATGTGGAGCGGGGGGGGGGGGGGGCCCCCCCTTCCTTCATGGAACAGGCGGTCCCTCCCTCTCCTCTTTCTCCTTCTTTAACTTCCCTATTATTCCTCTACCATATACAAGTTATCTGACAAAGTATTAGCAATTCTTTTTCTTTAAGTTGGGTTTGTGCTTTACTTGAAAGGTTCCCGGACAGCAGTCCTTCCTGAATGGTTTGGAGCATGTGTGAACATCAGTTATCAACAACATTCCTTCCGGAATCAACCAGTCTTCAAAATTATTTTATTACTGTGTGTGTGTGTACGAATGGCTATGTTTGTATGTGTGTGCACATGTGCATGCGGTGTATGTACGCATGTATGCACAAGTATATAGAGGTCTGTTCTACAGCTCCTCACCTTCGTTTTTGAGATAAAGCCTGTCACTGAACCTGGTGATCATCAGTTAGGTGGACTGGCTGGCCAGCGGGCTCCGACCCTTGTGTCCCACCTCCTCCTGTTCTAGAGTCAGAGCCATGCACGTCTCGCTGATAATCTACAGGCGTGCTGAAGGTTCGAACACAGCTCTATAGTTCTTTGTGCAGCAAGAACTATACCCGTGGGAACAGATTTTTTTTTTTTCTGAAAACTTCTTGCCTTCAGAAATAGAACTTTTTTTCTGTCTTGTAACCAACTTAATAATATGCCTTGAGATAATTTAGAGCAATGAATTCATCTTGCTATCCCACGGTGTACTCAGAATGTTTAAATCTAGCCTCCTGCCTTTAAGATAGTAAGGGAACAGTCCCAAATTTTGGACTTGCCATGCAATCAGTTTATACAACCCAAGATAAATGCATGCCTTTAGTCTTAAACTATTTTTCTTTCATTCCCCTGACTATCAGGCATTGTGTATTCGTGTGTGTGTGTGTGTGTGTGTGTGTGTGTGTGTGTG